ATCTATCCATACTTAATTCATTAAACATTTCTGCCATGCATGTAAAAAAAATCAAGGATAAAAAAAAATTCAAATTTGAAAACTAAAACTAAGATAATACCTTTAAATAGATCAAAGGAATTCAAGGGAATATATTAATTTAACAAATTAATATTCACAGTTTCGCTTATTCTAACGCCACACGTCTTAGGAAACAACTGGCAATAATTACTCAAAAGGACAAATCGAATCATTTAAAAACTTAACACATAATTTATAATAAGGTGAGAATATAAAACCAACATACTTTAAGAATGATAAACACATCTGGATTGCTATCTAACTCATATTTTACGTGGTGCGAATAACTTCATCAATTGTTACAGTTACAATTATCTCGGAGGGCTGAACTACATCTTGACTAAGAAAAAAAATGAAAACCTTTTGATGCAAAAATCATGTTCTGCGATCCTTTATGCGCAGATATGAAAAAAGCTTTCAGTACCGAATGGAGGTTTTTATCTCTTTAATGAGAACATAGCCGATTTTTTGCATCCACCTTTTTCAAAGTTGCCAAAAATGAAATTTAAATGCCCGTAACTCACGCAGACGATATCTCTCCAAATGGCGCGAAAAACCGATTCAGGCGATGACGATGATTCGGCTAATGGATCTGCTGACATTTTAGAGTTATTACGATTTGTTCCACTTAAGTTTAGAGCATAGTTTAGTTGACGCTTATCAAGTTTCTTTTGCAGATGCTGCGTTTTTAGGAAAAGAAAAATTATCGATGACATTATGCGACTATGATTTTGTTTTCGATTCGCTTAAGTAAAAATGTATATCGCGGCGATCGCAAATAAGATACTTCCATATGGTTTATGCCTTAGTTTAAGGATGTGGTATCTTAATGTTTTAAAGTGCTAGAAAATATTAAGGTACATTTTTTTCCGTAGAGAATGTATTATAGAATCCTGCTTTACTTAAAATAATTGCACTCCAAAAACTGTATTATAAATGTTGGCAAATTTACGACATTTTTATCTTTCTGAAGAATGTGTTTAAAAATTCTGTAGTACTTGAAATATTTGTTATCACTCAAAATATTTGTAATAAATGTAAATTCAAAAAAAAAAAAATTAGCAGAGAATAAGTTCTAAAATGTTATAATATTTAAATTATTTGTATCACTTAAAAAAATTTATCCTTTATGTTAACAAATTTTTAAAAAAATCTGTTGAAAATATGTTTTGATATAGTATAGCACTTCAAATATTTACTATTACTCTAATAAGAGTATATTGGTAAATTTTATGACATTACTTAAAATATTTGTTATCATTTCAAAAAGTGTATATACCAAATGTTGGCAAATTTTAAGACATATATCAATAGAAGGTATGTTTCAAAAATTCATAGAACATAAAATTATAGTTATCGTTTTAAAAGTGCTTGTACTAAAATTTATGTATAGTGTTGAAAAAAATACTTTTTTTTAATGTGCTTTTATATTTGTAATGGATAAAATTGTTTTAAAGATTGTTTCCTATAACAATCTTAATATGATGTATGCAAATAACCTATGCTCAAATAAACAAAATATTTTACTAAAGCTTACAAAAAAATGGATAAAATTAAGTAAGTTAAAAAAAAATATTTTATGTGTCATTAGCAACAAAAAAATTTTTTTTCAAAATAAATAAATTTTTTAAATCTACTTAGACAATTTCAAAATAAATAATTATTTTAAATGTACTTAGTTAAGCAACGTATTTAAATGTAAATAGTTCGACAATACATTTGAATGTAAGTAGTTAAACAATATATTTCAATGTAAATAGTTAGACAAATACTGTAATAGAATTAGTAAGTCAAAAAAATAGAAAATAAACTTTTCAAGGCTAAATTCAGTGAAGAAAGGGAAATATTTCAGGGTAATTATATATGTCTACCATGCTATATAGCTGTAACCATAAGTGAGAATTACTAGTAGATGGCTATAAGTCAGAACTGCTAATACATAGCTATTCGATGGAACTATAAATCTTAAAAGGACGCCATACTACGGAAGAAACATTTTGTCGTAAATTCTCTTTCAGTTCAATTACTAATTTAAAATTTCAAAGAAGGAAAAAATGAGTTCTGACAAACGTTTCAATTACTGAAAAAAAAATTTCAAATCATCAAAGTGAAAATAAATTATAAGAAGATAATTTAGAATTACGCAATGGAGAAGTTCTCTTTCAATAATTTGTTTGTATTTTGATATTTTGAATTTTTTTTTCTGCTATTGAAACTTCATGGCTTAACCTAGGTTGGCCGGAATTCACTTTATATTTTTTTTAAATTTTAATTAGTAATAAAGGTGAAAGAGAATTTGCGACGAAAAATTTATTTCGTGATATGGCTTCCTCTTTGACTGTAAACAAAATCTATATAAGTCCCTGATGAAAGGATCAAACTATAAGTTAAAAACTAAATATTTGAACCATAAAACTTAAATTATGAGTTGAAACTATACGTAAAACTTATAAGTTTTTCCTTGAATGTTTTTTTTTTTTCGGTGTGCAAGTTTTTTCAAACAAATATTTTGTACACATCAAAATTTGAAGAAATCAATTTTGTAAACAGGAAATATGATAAATCTCAAAAACAGTGCTTGCTTTACAATAAATAGCTGCATATCTTCACTAATCCAACCTGAAAAATACAACATCATGAATATTTCAAACATGAATGAGTAATTCTTTTGTAATCAGCAAACTTTATACGTATTTTCTTTCTAAAAACCCAAAATTGAAGTTTTATAAACAGCTAAATTTTAAAATAGCTTGAAAATATGAATTTTTGCTTTTAGAAATAGCAAATGATTATATAAATCTCGCAAACAAAGAAATTGAAACATTTTAAGACATCAAAATTTGAAGATATAAATTTTGTTAAACTGGAAATCTAATAGAACTCAAACATTGTATCTCTTCACAAAATTCGAACCGGAAGATAGAGTATCATTTTCCCACTATCTTCGGAAGTGATTCACACGGCACTTTTTTTTTATTGTATTGTTTTTTAATATCCGTTTACACCGTGCCCGAAACTTACCTGTATTGTTTCCTTTCTTTATTTATTGCTAACAATTTTCCTACTTTAAGTTCAAGCCTCCCCTCTCAACACCATACGGCAGACGAGAAATAATATCTTACAGGTGGTAATCGTTTTCTAAGTAACATCACTTGTATTGGTTTATCTCATAACTGTAACTGTCGCTGATCTATCTACTTGCATGAGTAAGCTAACTGCCCTTATAGTTTTAACCTTATAGGCGAAACTATGATACTTTTTTTGTTGTTGTTTAAGTTAAAAGGATATTTCCCATTGTTTTTTTAGTTTTTTTAATTGATAATATATATTATTAAATTATATTAGGGTTTTTTTTACAAAAAATTACTTCATTTTAATATATTTATTGAAAAATAATTACTATACGTGGAAAATAAAATTAATAAAAAATAATCTTCATTTTTAATTATTGTATTATCTTTTCCACAGACTACGTATCGTATCACATAGAGAAAAAAAGAATGGTTAAAACTACTAGAATATGGTGAAACCTACTATGTTTCTGGCTCTAAGGGTACTTTAAAAAACTCGGTAATTTTTATCGAATATCTTAGGTAATGATTTTGATAAAATTAACAATAAAATATCATTTTGATTGTGTGCAATAATATTTGGTAAATGTACTAAAATTTGGTTATTTTATTATAGACACATTAGAACGCAACGTAAAAATGATTTATTTGGTTAAATTTACACTTCAATTTTGTATTTTTTCTGAATGTGTGGCAATAAGAACTATAATTTTGAAAACCAGAATTTCCGGTAAACCGTTACCTCATGAACGGAAAAATTGTTAAATGAATGGTTTAAATGTCGTGCATTTTGATTTTATTGACCGGATTTTTTTTTTCTTACTAGAAATGTCTTTACCGTACAATACTGCAATTTCACCAGATTTTTTTTCTCTATGTGCCAACTAAATTTAACGTAGCATACTGTGATACTGTACTTTTTAAAAGTATTTCATTGGTATAAAGTTTATAACTAGAAAATTAAATAACTAACATAAAATTTATAAAATAAAATCTCTTTACCTATGTTTCTATTGACTCGTTACCGGAAGGGGGAATTTTACAATCGAAATTTCGATTATTTTCTGACAAAAACCAAATGACACAGGACTAAAAAGAAGAAAATAATGAACCCGTTTAAAATTTGAAGAGCTACTTGTAAATACTAAAGCAGTATAATATTAAGTAAAAAAATAATTTTATTTTTGTCAAACCTAAAAAGAGTAACGTAGCTTTAAAAAAATTATTACTTTAAAACAAATATAGAAATTTTATGAGGCACTAATTATATTTACTTGTATTCAAAAAGTTAATTTTAATCAACTAAACTAAATTTTATTACTAGTACAAAAAATTTATGAATTAGATTTCTTATATTTTTTTTAAATATTTTTTTCGTAGTTTCAAAAACACAAATACTCATAATGAAAAATGTTGCTTAATAATTATTATAGTGATCTTTTATTATAGCGTAAATCAAATGTATTTTTTAAATTAGATTAATTAGGCTGGAAATTTAGTTAAAGTAATGAACTTGATACGAGATAATGTATCAAATTCATGATTTTCATTGGATTTGAAGCATGATGCATGGATATCATGTATCAAAGTTAAAATTTCAGAGCTCGTAAGCCTATATCATAATATTCTATATAATTGTTAATTTTTGTTAAATTCGTCAATTTTATTTTTAATGCTCAAGTTTTGATGTATATAATTAAAAACTTAGCAGTTTTTTTCCCCATCGTGATTTTTATTTATTTTATTTTTATAACAGTTCTAACTTTGTGTTCCTAAAACTATTGTAAACATGCCATTAAAAATAATTTTTGTTATTAAATTTTCTTGTTTAATCAGTTTTACTTACAAAATCATTTTTCTGTATTTTAGGTGAAGGTTTGGTTCCAAAACAGGCGAACCAAACACAAAAGGCAGAAGCAAGAGGAAGAGCAACATACTCGACCTTCCGACGGGCAGAAAGAAGGAAAAGAAGACGATGAATCTAAAGATGGCCGTTCATCACCCTTATCCCCAGGAATGGAAGACTCTGATGAATATCCCTGTGAAGATGACGATGATGAATGCGATGACGCTCCATTCGAACATCACCAAAATCCTACCTCATGATGCCACTCTCCTTTTTGTAAATAATCCATTATTGTCGAATAATTTCTGTTCGAGCGAAATGGGCTGTCATGAGCTCTAATACACTTTTTTGTGCACTGTTCCAAATTAGCATTAAGAGTCAAGAAAAAATGTTACTGAAGTAAAAATCCAATTCTCGTATCACGTTTTAAGTTTCACTGGTGAAAATGACGTCACATATACTTCAGTATTCATTTGTGTCGTGCGTCGACTCTCATTCGCCAAACTAATCACGTGGTACGAGTTTAGACTGATGCTTTTCAAAGTGGATGTTATAGGTTTCAACAGATACAATCTTTCAGGGCAAAATCCCACATGGACATAATCTAGTCAGGATAAAATCTTACTCCGAAATCTTACCCAGAAATGTTTTGTTCGAGCGAAGTTTTGTCTACGAGAGATTATGCCAACTACAGATTTGGTTTTACCAGATTCGCATTTCAACTGTTTGTAAACATTTGTGGACTTTCAAGCGTAGAGTGGACTTAAATTTTGCCAGGGACATGCTGATCTTCGATGCAATTGTTTTACTCTTACATTCCAGTGATTTCATTAAGATAATATTTTTTTGAGGAGCTTGAAGTGTTACGAACTTGTTTACAATGTCAAGGAAAAATAAAAAACCAAAGATGCATGATTGTCACGTGATTTACTTTTGATTCATTCAGATTCCTATCATTTATCATGCTTCTACTGAGTGAATACAGATATTCACAGACGAAATCATATTAAAAATGAACTGAACTGAATTCATTTCGTTTTGAAAGTTATTTATACGTTATGTTGTATAATTTGTATTTTTTTTTTCTTTTGCAATCTTTCTGACATTTCATGTTTGAATAAATTCTAATATTACAATGAAGTATTTTGTTTTTATTTCCTAACGACTCACATAATTTTTAGAGCTACGAATCAATCGAACAGATAGGTTTTTTTTTTGCACAATTTACTTTGAAAGGCTTGAGACTTTAAAATAATAATCAAATTCAAATTGTACAGGACATGTTTTTTTGTTTTGTTCGAAAAACACTGGAACTTTGAAACACTAAAACTTTAGAACTTTGTTTACTGAACGCAAAGTCACATTTAAAATGATGAGCACTACCTTCAAGTTGTTCAGAAGAATGTTTTTTTTAGTTTTATTTATTCATTTATACAATTATTTATGTATTCAACTATTCATTTATTTAATTTTGAATAGCACCACTTTCTTGATGTAGTCAATAATTTTTTACACTTTCGAAACAAAATGTCCAAATTTTTTAGAAGCTAAAAAATCAGATTTCGTCAAACCTATTCCTTAGTTTAGTTTTCGTTTTCTAAAAACAAAGCCACATTTAAAATTTGAACATTACTTTGTAATTAGTTGTTCAGACGAAGTCTTTTTTTGAATTTTATTTATTTATTTAATAAATTATTTATATATTCTTTCATTTATTTATTTACTTTTGCAAAGCACCATGATCTTGAAAAAGGCAATAATATTTTTTTCCCCTTTTGAAACAAAATTTCCAACATTTTTAGAAGCTAAGAAATGAGATTTCGTCAAACCTATTCTTTAGTTTAATTCTCTTTTTTTAAACACAAAACCAAATTTATGATAATGAGCATCACTTTCTAATTGTTTTGAAGAATGTTTTTTTTAGTTTTATTTATTTATTTATACAATTATTTATGTATCAAATTATTTATTTATTTATTTTGGAAAAGCACCACTCTCTTGATGTAGGTAATAATAATTTTTTCCTCTTCCGAAATTTTTTTTTTATTTCCAATGGCAAGGCAAAAGGTACAAATAGAAAGATAAAATAAATAACGAATACAAATGTACGTAGGATAACAAAGAATGAAGACCGAAGTCATTGCATTAAAAGTTCTCTTGCTTCCCAATATCTTGAGGACCCAGTGTGTCCATGAAGGGCCCCACATAGAAACAGGTGGTCCCTGCTCAATTTCTCTCCAGATTTACAAAGTGGACAAAAAGGCGTGGTGGAAAGGCCTGTGCAGTATAAGTGAGCAGAAGGACAATCGTGGCCTGCATATAAGCGGAAGGCCGCAACTGCATCACGTCTTGGTTTGTCTTCCGAAACAAAATGTCTAAATTTTTTAGAAGCTAAAAAATAACATTTCCTCAAAACTTTTCTTTAGTTTAATTTTCGTTTCCTAAAAACATAGCCCCATTTAAAATGATGAGCATCACTTTCTAATTTTTCCGAAGAATGATTTTATAGTTTTATTTATTTATTTATGCACTTACTTATTTATTCATGCATTTATGTATTCAAATATTTATTTATTTATTTTTCAAAGCACCACTATCTTGATGTAGTCAATAAGAATTTTTTCCCCTTTTCGAGACAAATAATCCAACTTTTTTATAGCCAAAAAATTAGATTTCGCTGAGCCTATTCCTAAGTTTAATTTTCGTTTTTAAAAACAAAGCCTCATTTAAAATTTTAAACATTACTTTGCAATTGATTGTTTAGACGAAGGCTTTTCCTTAAATTTTATTTATTTATTTATGCAATTAATCATATATGCATTCATTTATATATTCATTCATTAATTTATTTATTTTTGAAAGGCACTACGATCTTGATAAAGGCAATAATAATTTTTCCCCTATCGAATGAACAAAATATCCAATTTTTTTAGAGTGGGATATTAGATCATTATAGGATATTAGATGGGCTATTATCAATTATTAAAATATTTGATACAGAATTTGACAGGAAGATTTCTCCTGCGGTATAGCACCTTCTTAACATGTTTTCAGAGCTCCTACGCCAAGGAAAAAAAAACACGATTTAAACTAATTAAAAAAAACAAGGTTTTTAAGTTTTATACTAAACATGCTATCGTGTAGAAAGAAATTATCTATGCTTTAATATTTTATATTAAAGCATAGATAAATAAGTAAAATATTTTATAAGCTATTAATCATTTTAAAAATCGACAATTTTTGGAGACATTTTTCCTCTTAAATTAAAACTATCAACACTGATGCCTTATTCTCAATTTTTGCAAATTTTTATGAGCCTAAATAATGCAGCATCGGAATAAGTTTTTAAATATTAAAAAATTGAACCACAAACGCTTTTCATTTTCCCAAAATTACGATTTTATTCCATGATGACATTTTACGCCATTTTTAGAATAAACATAATACGAACAGAATTTGCCTGATTAAAAATACGACAACATACTATTAGTAAAAAAAAAAAAAGAAGAAAAAAAAAACATCATTTCATGAGACTACAGAGCTTTCGAGGAATAGCCTAAAGATAATACGGTAGAAACTTGCCGTGGAAAATTTTGTTCCACCTGCATAAGTATTTTAAAATTTGCAGTTTAGAGAGAAGTGAGTTAAAAAACAAATCTAGACAAATCAAGAAGTTTCAATTGCTAAAAAAATATTTTCAAAATATCAAACTGCTGCGCTGTTAGAACTTTCTCGGAAAAACAGTTAAATAACAATTTATTTAATTTTAATCTACCATATTCAAACAAAACAGTCAAATAACCGTAAATAAGATGGTATTCAAACTGTAAACTATGAGGAAAACCGTTTATTAACTGCTTTCACTCAATGCGGTTAAACAACTAGAATTTTATCGTACCAATTACGCCCTCCTAATGAAGTTACTTAGTTCCTTCCAGCTGTGTTCATACAATAGCCGAAAGGGCTAATCTATCAGTCTCATGATCAACAAAACGGGGGCGAGTCCTAGCTTTCACTATATTTCATCAATTCTCTTTAACTCTTAAAAAGTTACCAGTGTGTTACACTCTCCAAAGTACATTTCTTAACGAAAAATCTATTTCCAAAGCCCAGTTAAATTCGTTTTTACGGTTTTGAAACCATGCTAGTTGTAAATAGTTTAAAAAAAAACAGCATAGTTTTGTATTAACGTTTTTTTTTAACCATTCTAGTTGCAAACGGTTTCAAGAACCATAAAGGTAAAAAATGTTCTTTACAGTAAACTTTTCTGTTAATTGGATGGACAGACTGCCACTGGTTATTTTACCATAATTTTTTAGGATGAAAATTCCAGCAATCTGCAGGATGACTTTCCCAATGCAGAACCCCTGAGTAATCCTGCCATAATATGTTTGCATTTTGGCGTATAGAAAAGAAAAAATTTTCAGCACTTGAAACTTCATGGTTTTTTCTGAACTCACTTTTCTTGAAATTATAAATCTTAAAGTACTTCGGTGGGTAAAACAGAATTCCCCCTCAAGATTTTTTCCCTCGAAATTGACTTAATTCTTGGCTGGTTTTCGTGCTCTCATCAGTAGGGGGCAGTAATTGCAAATGGTGTTTCAACTTCCGGTAAAAGGTTCGTTCTGTTGATACCTATTTTTTTTTTCTTTTTGCATCATGTTTCGACTTATTTTTTAAAATAATTACTTGTTTCCGATGGCAAAAAATTCGTTTGCAAGTGGCAGCAGTTGTTCTATTTTAGAGTGCACTATGCGCCAAAGCACTAATTAATTTGTTATCTGAAATTAAGATGTATAATTTCCATAAAGATACGTAACGCCGAATTCAATGAAGTTAGGCATTAAAGAGGAAAGACTGGAAAGGAAGAAATAGCCACGTTCTGCTATGACGTCAAAGGAGGACAACAAGACTTCCGGTTGGTTTTGTTTGTTTTTCGAGGATCCTCTTATAGATTTTACACTTCCTGTTTTCTTGATATTTGCAATATCTTTATGTAATTCGTATGTGAATATGGGAACACTGAAAAAGAATTGTGCTTTGCGTATTTTTTTTCGTCCTCAGCTAAATAAAATTAAAAAAAAAAACTATGATAGATTGAATTATAAAATAAATTTTATCTTACAGAAAGATAAATTTAAAGTAAATTTCATCTTGCAGGACCGGAAATATTTTAAAAAGAGTAAGAGGCAGATTGAAGAAACATATTGCTTTTAGTCATTCTTGTCTATTAAAATATATCTTCATAAATTAACGGAAAATATCTAGATGTTAAAACTGTAAAACTTAATTTCTGAAATTAAAACCTTTTATTGGCCTCTTCAAACTTTGCCACAACTTCTTAAATTCTTCACAGTTGTGGTCACCCACTATATTGTTGGAAATTTCATGTGATGCATATATATATATATATATTTATATAAGTTCATAACGAAGAATAAAACAAAGAAAAATAATAGACATATGAAAAAGAAGGGGAAATAATAAGTAAAAAATAACAAACAACAGTTTATTAAAAATAATAATAATAATAAATAAATAAATAAAAAAAATTTTAAAAAAAAAATCATGAAATGTTAAATTAAAAAACCGGAAAAAAAGGATATAATCTTTTCTTCAGCCCACACGATTATATCCGCAAAACAGAGTGCTTTCTGATATTGTATCAATAAAGCCAAAGCAAAATATATTAATACAATAGTGTGAGGAGCACNGTATTGAAATTGTTATATTCTTGGTTTTATTCCACATTTTGAACTTATCTAATGAGTTCTGTTTACTTGCAGCTTAAGCGCAATAAATGAAACTTATTGCTTTTCTTAACTTTCTACGTGTTTTCTTGTGTTTTTTTTTATATATTTATATATATATATAGTTGAAGTTGAAGTACTTCCACGTAGGCAAAAGGCTCGCGT